TTTCCCGTTCGGAACATCCGCTACGCTTCTAAGTAAGGAACTCTTGTGAGTTTCTTACTTAGAAGCGTAGCAGATATGCATATATTTATTGACCGTGTTGCTCTCCTCCTCCGTGTAGAGAGGACCATGAGCCATTTGTCATTACTACAGAGTCATTAGGTTGCATGAAGTTTCTGGAAATCCCAAGTGATATAAATGTTTACAAGGAGCAAAAAAAATGTTTTATATCTTTAAATAAGCTTTTTGACTGTCAGGCAGCATTTTATGCCATTGTGACTGGAACCTAATGACTAATGTGAAATGATGTCAACATGTCATTTCAAAGGTCAGTGGAAATGTAACTTGGAAAGTTTAATATGGTATAAACACAAATAACATGGTTTCTGAGAGTAGCGCACCTGAGTTAGGGTGGCTTGCTTGAAAAATTCTCTTGGCTGTCCATCATGCCTGAATAGTTTTTTCACTCCTTGATCTGGGGAGGCCTGGCCAAGGTCCCTGCATGGTGATTCTGGGGGTTTGGGAAAGCAGGGTTCGTTAGGCTTGAGAATGAGATGATTGTCCTGCCAGCAATGGAACACCTCTTTGGCTACCACCTCACCTAAACCTTGATTCAATCCAAAAATTATTCTAACTCACTGCAGTGTCGTGGAAAATCCAAAAATCAGCTAACCTTTCCCAATTAGACTCCTGCTATTTTCATTCACAGCACCCTGTACTGAACAGCTGGGGCTTTCCGAAGCAGGTGCTACCTACACCAGTACACAGAAAGAAATTCACAGCTTCCGTTGCCTCTCGGATTCCGTTATGCTAAACTCAGCAAATAGGTTAGGAAATGTAAATTGTTTGATTCCTTGTGATTTCAAAACCCCTCTAGTCAATTTCCAAATTGTCTAGACACCCTCCCACCAAACATGACTTAGCTCGTGCCTATCGGATTGGTATCAGTTCTCTCCCTCTTTATTTGTCAGCAGGCAGAACTCCTTTCATTGCAAAGAAACATTAATCACAGTATTACAATGTTCTTTTGCTCTTTTGACATAAAAGCATTTGCTTTCTTGTGTACACAGACACTTCTGTATATCTCCCAGGCCCCAACTAAAGCTAAATGGCAAGAATGAGTATTTCTGGAATCCTATGGAAATTTTGACAACATGAGGCAGGTTTAACAGATGTCAAGAAAAGAAGGGTAGACTCCTTTTATAATTCACGTTTCTATTTTGTATTCCTCTATGAGCATTTTCTGACTGAAACTGCGGCTCCGTCTAGTGAAACTTGTATGATTTCCTGTAGTTGCTTTTTACCTTTGGAAGCCAACGTTCCTAAAGTGTGCTTGATTGTCTCCTTTCTGTTAAGGATTTGATTAAAATATTCTAGCTGTCATCCCTTGTTGCGTGCTTAAAATATGTGACGTTATGCCTTTGCTATCTCAAAAACTATCTGTGGACAAGATCCATGAAGCCTGTAGACTGTGACCTTTACACATGGAAGAAGAAACAGATTTTTCCACCAAGCAGTGAATCAGTGAATAAGAAACTGTTCAGCATCCTCTGATTCCTGCCCCCTTTACCCTCCATGGCCTTCTTTTCTATTCGTAATCATTCATTGAGTAATTGTGTATTCCTGTACAATGCAAAACCAACTTACATGCAATCAGGTAAGGACACAAGACACACTTGTGCCCTCAATTTCAGGACTCACAGATACCCTAGCAGTCACAGGACTGCAGTTCACTCAGTAGTTGTGTTAACGATGTGGCTTTGCTATAAGCTAAGTTGCTGTTTTCTTTACTTTTGACTCCTCTAAGATTTTAAACGTTCCAGTGCATTAAAGAGAACACATGTGAAGGCCGATGTGAAAAACCATCAGCTATTCCTCCGAAAGCCGTTGTGCAGCTTCTGAAGTGTAGTTTATTGCTGTAAATATGTACTATTTATGTTCGCTTGTTTATTCCTAAAACAAATAAAAAATTTTTTTAGTCAAAATGCCTACCTGTAAAAAATTTACTTTGTGCCATTTTAAAAACATGCACAACTTCAGATATATTTGTGTAATATTTACAATGTTCAGAATTCTGAATCTATCATTGTAGAGCTTTTATGGTAAAATTTAATACAAAGCAAAACCCTTATATTTGGAAGAAATTCTTTACAGTATTATCCAACGCCAACACTTTCCCTCATTTTCAGGACTTATTTCTGTACCACTTTGACTTAAAAAGAGAACTATCCTATATGATAAAAGGGTAATATGCAAATTGACCCTAATGGCTGAACAACTATAACACTCTCTGACCACCAGGGGGCAGACACTAAATGCAGGAGCTGCCCCCTGGTCGTCACTGCACTTCCATAGGGGGAGCACTGCTCAGCCAGAAGCTGCTGGCTCATGGCTGGCCAGCTCAGCAGCAGTGGCAGAAGCCTCTCCCACTTCCAAGGCAGCACTAAGAATGTCCAACTAATGGCTTAGGCCTGCCCCCTGAGGGCTCCTGGGCTATAAGAGGGATGTCCGACTGCCAGATTAGGCCCAATCCCCAGGGGAGTGGGCCTAAGCTGGCAGGTGGACATCCCCTGAGGGCTCCTGGACTGCGAGAGGGATGTCTGACTGCAGCGGGCCTAAGCCAGCAGGTGGACATTCCCTAAGGGGTTCCTGGCTACCACTGTGTGTGTGTGTGTGTGTGTGTGTGTGTGTGTGTGTGTGTGTATGTAGCCCAGTGCATGAATTTGTGCATGGGTGGAGTCTGGCCAGCTTGGCCAGGTGGAGGGGACATGGGCGGTTGGCCGGTCTGCTTGCTGATTGAACTAGTCTAAGGGACAATTTGCATATTAGCCTTTTATTATATAGGATATACACTGAGTGACCAGATTATGTATTCAGAGATCATAATAATCTGGCCACTCAGTGTATATACTAGAGGCCTGGTATATGAAAACTTGTGCACTCGGGGGGTAGAGGGGTCCCTCTGCCTCGCCTGTACCCTCTCGCAGTCCCGGAGCCCTTGGGGAAGTCCACCTGCTGGCTTAGGCCTGCTCCTCCGCAGTCGGACATCTCACTGAGGGGTTCTTAGCACTGCCTTGGAGGCGGGAGAGGATCCCACCACTGCTGCTGTGCTTGCCAGCCGTGAGCCTGAGCCCAGCTCAGATTTATCAGTATATCAGTCAGATTTCAATAAAGCATTTTGATATGCTAATGTAGTGGTAATGTGGTACTAAGCAGACCAAGATTTGTTTCCTTCTCAGAGAGGAAGTGCTGAATGCAGGGTAGAAATACAAGGACCTTCAATAATCACATGAGGAACTTGCACAAGATCAATCAACTACCTCCCTAAGCACAGGTTAGTTCAGCTGATATATATTTTTTCATAACCAAAATTTCCCAGTGAAGAAAGCATATTGATGAGCATTCTGGCACCAGCTAATCTATGATCTTTATGCTATATAATAAAAGCATAATATGCAAATTGTCCCCTCACCCAGGAGTTTGGCGAGGGGGTAGGGCCAGCCAGGAGAAGGGAGGGAGGCACTGGCTGGTTTCAGAAAAAAAAGGGACCCAACCAGTGCAAGGATTTTGTGTACTGGGCTTCTAGTCTACTAGTGTGTGTATATATAAAAGCCTAAGTAACCAGCTGACCAGCCAGTAGCTATGACGCACACTGACCACCAGGGGGCAGACGCTCAACACCGGAGCTGCTGAGCTGTGGTCACTTGGCAGTGGCAGTTCTCATGTGATGCACCTGAAATCAGAGAGGAGGGAGCCTGATTCCATGGTTACGTCACCCAAGAACCGCCCTCTCACAATCCAAGATCCCTTGGGGGATGTCAGAGAGCTGGTTTCAGCCTGATCCCCGCAGGCCTGGCAAGGGACCCCACCGGTGCACTAATCCATGCACTGGGCTTCTAGTTAATTTATAAATAACTCAGAGTGGCAGAAGTCTAAGATACATTTTGAGAGCACCATCTAGATTACACTCTATGTTTTAACCTAAGTCTATCCTCATCTATATGTAATTGAGTAGTAATAATTGCTCTGGACACCTCAGATAATAGCCTGATGCTCTGATGAGCTATAAAGCTTACAAACAGCAAGTACCAATTAATTATGTATTATTGCATTATGTAGAAAGTAATTTGAAATAAAATTGTTTTTATTTGTTCAGAATGCTTATCGTTAAACTTAACTGAAATTAAAAATGATCTGTTTACCAACAAAGTTAACATCCAAAACTGTTAAATTCAATAGTAAGAGTTTATAAAAAATGGACATAATTTTAGCTATTTGAACAGTAATATATAACTATACAATGACATATATTCTTTTTATCAGCTCATGCCCTCCCAGCCAGCCACAGAAATACCAGAGTAGCAGTGTTATTGCACTCTTCCTGTTCTAGCATGATTTAGTTAATAGGATTCATAAACTCAAAATTGTCCACAGTATTTTCTAATTCATCTGAAGAGCTTTCTCTAAGAATTTTTTCATTTTATAATCTTTCCTTTGAAATACGAGTAAGATATGCAATTTCCTTAGTTATATATAGCTTATACAGTCTTTAAGTTATTTCTAAAATATCACAAATTAGTCATATATATACATACTGTATATATCCATAATACACATATTTGCTATTCACATACTACTTTTACCAAAAAGTTATTTGTGCTTTGTATATGTTAACATTAGTTTAGAGCCTATTTTTAGTTTTCAGTAAACCTCGGTATCTATAAAGATCTGTCAAATATTTAATAAATGAGGCAGGACAGTCATTATGAAAATATAAACCGCTACCATAGCTTTTTATCTTTAATTTTTTAATGCATTTCCTGTCAACCATATAATTTCCTGTTCTTTAGGGAACTTGATAAATTTTTATCTTTGTCATCTCAACACGGCTGCTTTCTCAGCGTAGCATAATAGCATATCGCAGGTTTTCTGAGCACACAGCATTCGCTGTCTTATCAGTTGTAACAGTTGAATCTGATGATGCTGGGATTCATCATTTCCAGTTATTTGAACTGCAGGATGACCTTAAAAACAAAGGGGAAAAGCGCACTCAGTTTACACCAGAACGATGCCAACGTCTGCTATACGAGATGCTTTACAGTCTGTGAAATGGCTCAAGAACTGAAAACAAATATACTGCTCAGTAACTGATAGCACAGATCCATGGCTGAGAATCATTTCACATTTATACCAGGCTCTACCACACCCCCATCAGACCTTTAGCCATTCAAAGGCAAGCCAGTAACCAGTTTGGTGACTGGGCAGGTGGACCATTCATCAAGGCACTAAAATAGCAGAGTATGAAGGGAAGCTGAAGTATACGAGGGTTTAAAAAAACACAGACACAACAAGATTGGTTTGTGGCAAGAGATTGGTAAGAAAACTAACTTTAATCACTGAGATCGATCACTTGAGAAAATGCTGAGCAAAAATGAAGGGAACATGCATAACAAAGATAATTATTTTTATTTCTTCCTCAAGGCAGCAGTTTCTATGATTTAAATATTCTTTTTCTCATTAATTGAACACTGAGAATGGTTACTGTTATTTAGCCCTTTGTAAATGTAAAGCTTTTAGTCATTGTCATTTATTAGTTCTATCTTTTTATTTTTAATATATTTTATTGATTTTTTTTTTTTTTTGCAGAGAGGAAGGAAGAAGGATAGAGAGTTAGAAACATTGATCAGCTGCCTCCTGCACACCCCCTACTGGGGATGTGCCCACAACCAAGATACATGCTGACCAGAATCAAACCTGGGACCTTTCAGTCTGCAGGTCAACAGTCTATCCACTGAGCCAAACCAGTTCTGGCTCATTCTATATTGTCTCAACCTGATTTTGTCATAACTATAAGGCATATTTTTGTCTCCTGTAGTTAAAACAATTTTCTACTATTTGTCCAGTTAAATAAGACACTCTTTTTTTCAAGATCACGCTATTTTAAATCATAAAAACTCTTCAGAATTAACTAACATCATATACCCAAGGTAAAAAAAAATAATTTTTATCATTAATGTGCAATGGAGCAAAATAAATCTAGCTGTTAGAACAACACTATTATTCTTTCAAAAATAACTACTTGATCAATTATGCTCCAAAGTAATTAAAATGACAAGTTATAATTAAGTTAATGTCTAAATCTAAAGATAAATAACAAAGTATTTTCTGTGCTTGACATAAAATATCAGGAAGAAAAGAAATATTAACAGCAAACTATGAGTTTTTTCTTACATGGCTCTATTGGTGTCTATCAAAACTTAAACATTTTAAACCACAAAACAAAATTAAAACAATCACCTTATTAGCTGCTTCCAAGGAATTTATTAGGTTCTTTAGCTCTTCTTGACTCATTTCGATAGAATATGGTTTGACTTCACCATTTTCTTTTACGTCTAGATGAAGGTTTAAAAGTGGCATTTGTAATGTTGCAATTTTGTCACTGGAAAGTGCAAGCTGGTTAAAATGAGGAAAACAGTAATTAATAGATATTAAACAGGCCTATATTAAATATGCATCAGAGCTTATGAACAACACATTTTATAAAAAATAAAAAATAAAGTACTCCAATTCACTGTCAGGTACAGGGAAAGATGGAACAAGTAGCATCCAATAGATCTAAAATACAAAAACTGTTTTTTATGACTCTCCTTGAAAAATGTTTTTAAATGCTGTTTTAATAACACATTACAGATTTTCCTTGGAGATAGAAACACCTTGACCAATTTTGGGAAGACTATAACGCCTAGAAAATTCCAGGCTGAAACAGATGTTAAATATATAGATACTAGAGGCCTGGTGCATGAAAATTCGTGCACTGGGGAGGAGGGGGTGTCCCTCAGCCCAGCCTGCCCCATCTCACAGTCCGGGAGCCCTCAGGGGATGTCCTTCTGACCTCCCTCTGCGGGAGGCAACTTGGCTGATCAGGGGAAGGCACGGCCCCCATCACCCTGCTGCTGCTGCCACTGCCGGCTGCCGCAGCCACCAAGGTGTTTTCAACAGGGACTCCAGTCCATTCACTAAGAAAAAATGACAACTTTCTTTAGGCATTTTAAAGATGTGTCTTTCATAGGATATGCATTTCTTTCTTTCTTTTTTTTATCCTTACCTGAGGATATGTTTCCATTGACTTTTAGAGAATGTGAAAGAGAAAGGGAAAGACAGAGAGAAACATCAAAGTGAGAGGAACACTTTGATTGGTTGCTTCCTGCATGAGCCCTGATCTGGGCCCTGGCCATGGAGGAGTCTGGAACCTAGGTACATGCCCTTGATCAGAATCGAACCCAAACCCTGCTGTTGGCAAGCCGAGGCATTCTCTACTGAGTCGAACCGGATAGGGCAGGATCTGACATTTCTTAGCCCTCCAGCAGCAGACCTTCGTTTTTTTCCTCCAGGAGTGTGGTGGAAAAACCCTAGATGACCTTCTTGGATTCTTACTACCCAAATTACCAAGAGCATTGTGAGTGGTGTACCCAGAGCTTAGCCAATGAGCGGCCAGAAAAGGTGCCAGCTGCCATGGCTGCGTGGAGACACAGAGAGAAGAAGGCCTGCTAGCTGCAGGCCTGAGAAATCTGTGGCTTGCCTTACTATGCACGCAGTCCCCTCCTGCCCACCTGAGCGTGCAACCTCCTTCTCCTTGTGAAGTTACAGCGTCTTGGACAATTTGCATATTACCTCTTTATAGATAGATAGATAGATAGATAGATAAGATAGATCGATCGATCCATTATTTGAAACATGTAATGATTTACAGCTCCAGTTAATGAAATTTATCATTGTAAAGTTATTACACCTGGTTCGGATACTTATAATATATTGATGTCCAGTTAATACAAAAGATATAATTTTAATTGTCTTTGATATCTTTATGGGGCACTGCATTCTCAAAATGAAATTTTAGATGTGTACTATAAAAAAAATAAACATTTCTTCCTATTCAAAAACTGAAATAAAAACATACTCCTAAATAAATAGATTTGCACCTTTAACTGCCAATCAAAATCCTGTAGCTGTGCAGAGGAAATATCAACTATTTCGTTTAACAGAGTCTGCTTAATTTCATCTTTTCTACTTTTCAAGCATTTCATGATAGCTTCTTGATGAGATGAATTCAACTGATTCAATTGCTGAGATATCTATGAACATAAAAAGAAATGGTTATAAGTGAAAGGACCTCTCTATTTAAAATGTAAACACATAGTTCCACTCTCTTTTCACATACCGTTTAAAATAGTAGTAAGTGAGAAAAAAAAAATAAAATAAATAAAAAAATAAAAAATATATACTTCTGTCACTATGAAAAGAATAAGATGAGAATACATAACCAGCAAACTAGGTTTTAACAAATTTTTGCAAAACAGAAAGTAAAAGTGCTGACTGATGAAGAGCATGAACGTGATTATATCTAGAGACCACCAAAAAAAGCTGGTATAATTATATTAATATTAATATATCAGAAATGTTAACAACTGTTTAACTGTGGTAATGGGAATGTAGGTGTTAGCTACTTAACTTTCAGTTTTCTTCTGTAACATTTAAATGTTTCACAACTTAAAAAATATAAACAAATAAAATAAAACTACAAAACCCAGAACTTCTACAATGAGATTTTATGCTTACAATTAGGTTTTCCCTGTTAGCTACTTACCAATGATGGCCCTTATAATATAGTGTCCTAAAGACCAACTTAATAAAAAAAATCTGAACACTATTTATTATTTATTATAATATATAGGAATTTAGACTACAGTTACCTCTTCATCAGATAATTTTTTGCCCACTACAACTTTGAAAAATTTGGTAATATCTTCCAGAACATGCATCCATTCTGTGGAATCCCAAACACTTTGATAATCCTGGTAGAGAGGATAAGTACGGCCACAGATGCCATCAATTATTTTGTGAAGAAGCTAGAGTAAAAACAAAATAAATGTAATTATGAATAAAGTTATAAACATATTTATTTCCCTTACAGCAAACATGAACTTCTCTTGTTGAAAGAAGTTCATATCATCTGCAAGAGCAGCTGAGGTTGAAATGTAACTATTTATTTACTTTTCTTAATCTCCACAGAAAATATCTTTTCCATTAATTTTTAGAGAGAGCGAAAGGGAGGGAGGAAGAGGGCAGAGAAAAACAATGACAAAGAAAGAGAGAGAGAAATATCTATGTGAGAGACACATTGGTTGGTTGCTTCCTACATGCACCCCAACGGTTTATGTGCCCTTGACGGGGAATCAAACCTGCGACCCTCAGGTGTGAGGGCCGACACTCTAACCTCTGAGTCACACCAGCCAGGGTGAAGTGTACAAGTAACTACTTTTAACATTATTTTATTAATGAAAAGTTAGAATGTCACACACACATACACATACACACACACGTACCATTTTGTCCATGTTCAGAAGCTAAAAAGTTACACTAGTGTTTTTCCAATGTTACTGAAAGGAAGATGGTGAGTATAAAGGACTAATCTTGGGATTCCTTAGACACTATATGTATACCAATTACAACAAGTGTAACTCTTAGAGCAAAGTCTTTTACTGTAGATCTACTACATTTTCCCCTTACCTCCATTTTTCACCACATTCATACTTACTTCTTTGGGTCCATCCAAGAAAGCCCTCAGTGCCTTTCTCTTCCTTTTCTACATTCCTTTTTCTCTATCCTACCTTAATATCAGCAATGGGAATCCTAACACATACATAGCTGAACACAGTAATTAAGACTGCACATTTTGGAATGAAACTGGCTTGTCTGAATATTAGTTGTACTACTTAACTAGGTTTGTCAAGTTATTGAACCGTTCTGTGCTTCTGTTTCTCATGTATAAAATAGGACAGTATACATACCCTTGTAATGTTGTAAGGATTTAAAAAGAATACATGCAAATCTCTTGCCACATTGCTAGCTTATACAAGGTACTTAAACATCATCATCATCATCGTCATCGTTACTACTACAACTATGTTCCATGCCTTTAACATATTTGAACTGAGTACCTACTATGCCTGCACTATTCTAGGCAAATGATTAACATGGTATTCTTCCTCAGGGGCTATTTATGTCTTACAAAAAGAATATTTCAAGCCAATAGCTTGGAAATGCATTTTAGCAGCTAGTCTTTCACTTCTTTCCCCCTGGATCATATCGACTCCATTTTAAGGAATAACTTCTCTATAACACCACACACATCAGAACAGAGATGAGCTCGTGGTGACCCCACTTCCAAAGGCTGGCGAATGCACCATATGAATTTCTTCATTTGTAAAATCAAAGGAAAGGATTAAGAATACGTTGTTGTTATTGTTTATCCTGCCAGGAATTAAGTAAGTTCATCCCTTCTATTCAAACCCCGCCCCCAGCACCACCACCCTTTCCCCACTATAAAATGGAACAGAGACAAAAGGCAGGCCAAACTTTGGAACTTATAGAAGGTACTTACCACACACCCCGCTATCACATTATATAGGCTAAGCACCCACCCTTCCCCCATACTGAATGGAACAGAATAGGGAACTTACCCAAAGTTGCCCATCATTGGTATCCAGATGACTGTTGCAATGATAAAGTGAGTTTAATGTACATTAACTGATTACTTTCCTCAACAAACATCAATTTAAGAACCACCTTAGGCCAGACACAGTTCTCAAGAATTGGAGATATAGCCGAAACTGGTTTGGCTCAGCGGTAGAGCGTCGGTTTTGTGGACTGAAAGGTCCCAGGTTCGATTCCGGTCAAGGGCATGTACGTTGGTTGTGGGCACATCCCCGGTAGAGGGTGTGCAAGAGGCAGCTGGTCGATGTTTCTCTCTATCTCTCTCCCTTCCTCTCTGTAAAAAATCAATAACCTATATATTTTTAAAAATGCCAATGCCTTTCGTAGTAAGGCTAAACACAAGAGCATGGCATCGTCAGACTCCAGCCACCTGACTCCTGCTCACCTGCCTTCGCTACCCGCCTCTGCTTCTCACTGCATTTCAGCCTTTCAGAATTATAGAAAGTCCTCGAAGCCCCCTGGCGGTGGCGGTGGCGGTGGGGACTTCTTCTTCTAGCCTTTGTAGCCTGTTCCTGTCTGAAACATTCTCTCCCCTCTCGCCTCTCTGGTTCCTACCCATCCTTCGGGACTAAACCTAGAAATAAATCTAGATGCTCCTGCTCTGGAAACCTTCCCTTGCCCCTTCAAATCTGGGTTGCTGGGTTCAAATCCTTCAAACTCATGACTGCAGGTTTCCTTCCTGAACAGCAAGTTCCCCCAGGGCACAGACTGGGTCCCAGTCACCATTCCTCCTTACCCCCGGGGCACTGGGCGCGAGGCCGGTGTCAGGGAGGAACAACTGAACGAGGCTTTCTGCTCAGGCTGGAGCTGCCAGCCTGCACGTCCTCTGCACGGAGTCTAGGGAAAGGCCGCCCTGGAACTCACTACCTACTGCAGTCGCCCCGTTATGGCAGACTCCACTTGCCAATGCCTTTCCTGCTCCCTCAAGGGGCCCAGGTATGCTTGTCCAGGTCACCACGGTAACCCGGGCACTAGGCACTGTGCCTAGAGCGGAGGCAGCGTCCGCGAGGTATATGATGAATGAATGAATGAATGAATGAATGAGTGAGTGAATGAAACTTAAGTGAGAAGCTGCAAACCACCGGTCCAGAAGGTAAGCTCTCACAGACTGCGTGGCAGTTCCACGTCCCCCCCCCCCGGGGTCACTGGGTCCCGGGCCTCCCCAGGGAGCAATGGGCCTCCCCCACCAGGTGAGGGTGCGGCCGGCCCGGCAGAGTCTGCGCACAAATCCCCCTGAGGGGCAACTCCCGGCCACGGCGAGGGCGTGGCGCCCCAAGTCTCGGCCTCCACGGCTCACCCGGAGGCTCCGGGGGCCGGACACCCGAAATCCCGCCCCCACCCCTCCCTTCCCCGGGCCGCGCGCCCCGGCCCCCGCCGCCGCCGCCGCCCGCGCCCCCCTCACCTGCGGGCCCCGCTCGGCTGGGAGCTTCTGCAGCCGCCACAGCGGCGCCCCCTCTTCCGACTCCATTCCCGGGCGAGCTGGGGTCCGGGTCACGTGACGAGGCCCGGCCGCTCCGCCCCCACGTGACTCAGGTGGGCGGGGCCGGGCGGGGCTGAGGCGCTCTGGCGCGCGTGCGCAGAACTGCAGCCCAGCCTTTTGTGCCTGCTGCTGCATGGCGGAAGCACCGCTGTAGGGTTACTTTGAAGGCAAGTTTGCAAACTTCTCAAAGTTCTCAACTTCACTGAGAGTTTTACTGAGCTTTTTCTGCACTCTTTAAAAAGCCATCTTACTCAGGGTAACCATATTTGGATTGTACTCGGCCCATTTGTCCTAGAGGTTTGATATGTATCTCCTACTGATTTGGAAGGTGAATTAAGGGTTTGATGTGGACAAGATTGTCCCACTTCCTAGGAACAGATAAGAGAGAAGTCACTATGCTTGTCATTTTTTTAAAATTATTTATTGACTTGAGAGAGCAAGCAAGCTTTGTTGTTCCACTTATTTATGTATTCATTGGTTGCTTCTTGTATGTGCCCTGATTGGGGATAGACCTGCAACCTTGGCTTATGGGACCATACTCTAACCAACTGAGCTACAGGGCCAGAGCCCACGAGGGGTGTCATATTTTGCAAGTAAAATGCACAGGTGCCCAGTTAAATAAGAAATTTCAGATAATCATTATGGCACACTTATTTTGTTATAAGTTAAGTGTGCCATAATGATTGCATGGGGTATACTTAAGCCAAAAACTGGATAAGCAACAACTTATATTTTAACTTCTTAAAATATTACAACAAGATAATATTTTGTTATACGGATGCCATAATGATTGCATGGGGCACACACACAGATCAAAAATGTATTGTTGTTCATCAAATACAAATTTAACTGGGTGTCCTGTTTTTATCTTTCAATCCTAGATGTCAGGTGCCTGAGCCAAGAGGCACAGCCTGAAGTTAAAATCAATCAGGTTCTAGAGCCACTCTCAACATCGGGCTGAACCTAAAACCCAAACAGCTTTTCTGTAGTTTCATTTGTTCCTGCAGTTATTCCTTTAATTGGAGAATTCAGTGGTGATAAGACAGTCCCTGCCATCCAAATTGCACAATAAGGAGGAGATAGAAACAGGAATCACAATGTAATGTATATTTAATTTTTAAAAAGCAGTGCAAAGTAATGAAGCATGCCACAGAGGAGAAAGTAGTTATTTTAGACTGATGGCTATGCAGAGAAAAATTACTCATTATTGGCATGCTTTAAGGTGTAGCTCGAATGCCCTTTCTCTACTCTGTGCCCCAACTCTTGGAAGTGAAAGCAATTTCTCCCTCTTCTGAATTTTCATGATGATCTCTCACTTAAAATATTTCTAGTTCTTAATATAGGTAAGTATGTACAACTCTTGTTCCAACTGAAACATAATTGCCTTAAGATGTTTTACGTTTGTGCATAGGGGCTTCCCAAATAATATTTAGTAAATGAGGAAGAATCTGGAAAACTATCTAATTTATATCTGTTAATAAGTCTACTGAAGGCAAGGTCTATTTCCTAAGACAAAACTAAGTTTTGTATATTGTAATAATTGCAATAATAATATTTATCAAGAAGTTACTATATGCTGCCTTGGCCAATGTGATTCAGTTGGTTGGAGCATCATCCCATACACAGAAAGGTCACCAGATACCAGTCAGGGCACATGCCCAAGTTGTGGGTTCCATCCCCAGTCAGGTGTGTATGGGAGGCAACCAATCAATGTCTGTCTCTCTCTCTCTCTCTCTCTCTCTCTCTCTCTCTCTCTCTCTCTCTCTCTCTTCTCTCTCTCTCCTTCCTCCCACTGTCCCTCCCTCTGTCTTTTTGAAATTAAAAAAAAAATCTGCTATTTCCAAGCAATTTATATATTTTATCTTATTAATCCTCTCTACAGCCTTGTGTTGTGGTTATTATCCCAACTTTAAAGATGAGGAAACAAGGTCACAGAGACAGCAGTTGCAAAGTCACTGGTCTGAGTCTGGAACTGGTGGTCTCAGTCTTTGTGCTTCATGTCCCTAATGAAGAAGGAAAGGCATTTGGAAGTGATGTGACTATTTAACGCCATACAACAGATTACTCCAAGCAAATAGGCACAGCACGCAGGGCACAAGAGTTGGAGGACAAAGCATTAGGTCCTGGTTTCTCTTTCAGACAACACTAGGTACCAATAATTTTTCTTTGGCATTCAACTTTTAACAAATATAGCTTAAACAGTTCACAAAGTGAGAGAGGAAGAGAGCTTATTATTTGCGCTTTGATGTCCTTATGTGTGTAATCCAAGAGGTTTTCAAAACATATTTCTGGCTCTTCTTGTCTTATGTGTGCAAGTGTTCTAGTCCCCATCTTCCAAATTTTACTTGTAATGATGGTTAAAAACATGGAGCTAACCTAAAGTTCACACCCTAGCTTGGCAAATTACTACTCAGGCGAGCTGGGTCACCTCTCTGTGTCTCTGGCTCCTCATCTGTAATTGGCTATAATGTCAGCAAAGAACTTACAGAGTCATTATCAGTTCATATGTGTAAAGTTCTTGAAATGAGTCTGACCTGGCACATAGAAAACATTATCAGGTTCCCTTCTAAGTGGCCATATTCCTATTTTCCGGCCAAAGATCAGTGGGTTCCAGAAAGCAGGGTGTTGGACAGTCTCAGCTCCCAGGATGTGATCTGATACCATCTAGGCTGCTATGTAGTGCTGTTTAGGCAATATATATCAGTGATTACAGTTGGGGGAGACTTGGGTTCTAATTCTATCTCTGTCATTAACCAGCCACATGATCTTGGGGGTAAATTCTTTGCATCTCAGGATTTTTCATTTTGTTTTTGTTTTGTTTTTCTGAAAATGGGGAACCCACCCACCTAATAAAGTGAAATTCAAATGGAATAATGCATACAATGTGTTTAACATAGCACCTAGAATGTAAGTTGCCCTTAGTCAAGCTTAACTATTGTTTTCAGCAAGTAGCAGTAATAGCGTGGAGTCCTTGAAAGTCAGGTAAAACATTCACACACATACACCCTATGGGGCCATGCTAGAGGTGCTTGATAAGGAAAGCAAAAGAGAGAAATGGAGCTGATTCATCCCTGTGAACTCCCATACACCTTGGGCAGGGGTAGATGGATTGTGCCAACCATTCAAACTTAAGCTGGGAGTCATCATAATTTGGGCACTGTGGCACCAACTGCCATCTGTCCCCCAATATCTCTTCTTGTGTTACAGCTTGAATTTTATCCCCACTAAAATTCATATGTTGAAGTTCTAAGCCCCAGTACCTCAAAGTGTGACCTTATTTGGAGATAGGGTCTTTAGAGTGGTAATCAAGTTCATGTGAGGGTATCAGAATGGGCCCTAGTCCAGTCTGACCTGTGTCCTGCTAAAAAGAGGAATTGGACTCAGAAATACACACAGAAGGAAAGCGATGTACAAGACAGAGGCGCTGGCCTGGCTCTCCAAGGAGAGGAGCTGGAACAGACCGTTCTCTCACAGCCCGCAGAAGGAACCCATAGTGCCAACACCTGATTTCTGCTTTAAAAAAACAGATCTTGCCTGAACTCATCCTCCTCTTCCAACATCTTGCTGAAGGCAACCAATAACAACCAATATACAGTGATAATGATCTATTTTCCCACCCTGTTGTCTAGAACTAGTCTCAGCTCGGGATCTGCCTGCCAAATTGTCAAACGCACTGAGTATCATGAATCCTAGCTTTCAGGCCTCTGCCAGCCTCTAACTACATATTTTAGGAAATGGTTCATACCAATTTTGGTATTGGTTGGAGTAGGTTAACTACTTTAATGATAAATCTAAAATACGTTCCCTTTGAATTGTGATAAACTATCTGTTTTCATTCTAGGGACATTTTTGGGGGGTAAAGAAAGAGCAAAGCATTCTTTTATCTCAACTGTTGGGGGGAAAAAACTTTATTTCTTTCACTCTCCTTTTCACCAGATGCCATACACCCTTATTATTGTTTCGAATAGACCCTTGATCAAGATTTAGGAAACACTTCTCCACAGAGATATTCCACTCTGGAAATTTCTATTCTGCATCATTGTGGGTTGAGTCTTAGTAGTAATTTTAAATAATAGCTTTCCTTTGTCCCTAAATTCTAGGCTCTCTACTTTCATCCATGAACTGACAACATTAGCTGCATTCATTATAATTTCTGATAAATGTTTGAGGAATCAGGAAAAGCTATGAATTCATTATTCAGAGTTTATGGCATCCTTTAATAAAAGAAATGGTCTGTGGCTTTTCACACCTATTCATTCATTTCAAACCTGCCTTTCAGGTTACCTTATGACTTAAAGTTGACTAATTTGTTCACCTTAATTAGATATGTTACATTACAGATGTGCTTAGTGATCTGCATTGCAATCTATGTAAAATCATTATTGTTCATAAATTGTTGAGAGACAAGGACCTTCAAGTTTAAATGAGTTTTATTATTATCTTATAACCATACAGGAATTTTTAAAAAATCTTTATTGTTGAAAGTGTTATATATATCATACAGGAAATATTTAAATATTAAATTGGCTTTGGTTCTATTGCATTGAAAGAAGTTCTGAATAGCTAATTTATAAAGATTTGGAAAGTGTTGTGTTTGATCTTGTCTGTAAAAGCAGTTTCTTAGAAAGTTAGTTGGATAAATCATTTCGTTCTGGTGAAAAAATTTAAGAAACTGAAGGGCTATGTCTTTTTTTCTGAACTGTCTACTAATTAAGAAATGCTTTTAACACCCCTTTATTCCCTATTTTGTTTATCAAAACTATTTTATCTCAGGCCATCTGAGTTCTCCATTTAATAAATCTCTAAAACAGACATTTGAATTTTAAAAGGGCAATAGAGATCCCACACTAGTTATTCCGGTGTACCACTGAGGAATGCAACATCTTTAAAGCTTTGAATTGCTCTGTTCAAGTGAAATCCTTGAGTGAACTGCAATTTTGGACCTTAAGCCATAATGCATTGTAATCTACACAATATCCCCAGGGGTT